AGTTTACTTCTGTTATACCGAGAGGAAAGGAATCGTTGCTGTTGTAGTTGGATGTAATCATAGGCGGATTCTGTGAATTATCAGTTGCATTCACTTGGTCCCAGATTACAAGTAAGCTGGAAACTCCAACAGCACTCTGCATGAAAATGTTACTAGGACAATTGACGACTGGAGGTTCCTGGTCTGTGACAAAAATAATAAAGTTCCTTGTGCCTTATTCAACATAAAATGTAAAGGGCCTAATGCAAATGTTATAAATATCAACCTCTACAGTTGAATGATGAAGTTGAAAGAGTAGATTATGAAATTGAGTTTGATCAGAAAAGTTTACTTTGTATTGATGTGAATTCCAATTTAACAGTTAAATCAATGTTTTATTTGTGTACCTATTAAATGTTACCTTACAAAACTATCGTGATAGGTATTATAGTACGTATCAATAACAACAACAATAACAATAATTATAAATTATGATAAAAGTATATTTGAAAGAAAGTATATTCCGTCTTGTCTTACCTTCAACATCGACTGTGAAATTGCATGAAGCGGAATTGTTAGATGAATCTGTTGCATTACACTCCACTATTGTTGCACCGATTGGAAAAGGAAAACCAGATTGTATGGAACATACAGGTGATATGGCCTCATTTGAGTTGTCTAAAACGACCACTGTGTAATTGTACACTGCAGTTGGTAGACCGTCATCAGTCATTACCGTTTCACTTGTTGGACAGGTTAGGCTTGGATTTTCCATGTCTTAAAAAAGTAACATAAATGTAACTGATAAAGTACACATGCTTTTATTAACATCATCCAATCAATCATTATAAATTGTGTACGCTTGTGTACTTATCCTAATACATTATGGATTACGGTGCGAACACCAAGAAAAATCCAAGAAAATTGGAAGACTCATTTTATATTTATTTAGATTCAGTAACAATATAAAGTAACGAAATATAACCAGACGTGGTATAAGTGGAGACCAAATCCAAAGACCACCCCAATTATTTAGGTCCCAAAGTGGTCTCGAATTAGAGGGCGAAATGTAGGCCTTGCATTTGAGTCCCCCAGCTGACACACAAAGGAATACCAAA